TCCAATTTTACGGCTATTCTCTTTCCTGAGTAAATTTGAAGATCGGGACCACAAGTTATCGAGCAATTGATTGATGAACCGGCTGATGACTGTCATGCCTTCCTAGGAACCCCGAACATTCCTTTTCCGTTCCTCGGTGCTGGTATTTTTCCAATAACGGCTTTGGCTTTTGAAGGATCAATTCTATAGCCCTTGATGCCGACTGACCATATGCCCCAGAATACTCCGGATGATAGCTCCACAGACAATTGTTGCCGGGGTTGAGTTTTTAAATGTACTTTCCGAAGTCATAAGGAAAGAACGTTCTCAAGCGCCGTTGTATGTTCTTCCAGCTGTTTTTGATTTAACAGGACCATATGTCCCACGTACACTTCTACTTCTTCAGTGAATCATGTATGGAAGATGGTCCGTCACGCCGATTCTTTGATAAGGTTGCCGGCATTTTTTGAAGCCTAAAAGGCATGAACCCTGTAGCAGTAAGGTTCCGCCACGTCCGTGGATGAATGCCGTTTATCCCTCTTTGTCTGCACATGCATCATTATTTGGTTGTAACCCGACAGCAGATCGGTCAAGGAAGACCGATCTCGTGTCCCGCCATTTCGGTCTACCAACAATCATATGCGGCAGGGGGAGTCGTCTTCGGAACCTGGCTCTATTCAATCCCGATAGTCCACACACAATTCTGAGACTTTGCCATCTTTCTTGTCGGTCACTGGCACAGATATTTGCTAACCATGTGATGTCGGGTGGCAATGGGTCTATGAATCTGTTCTCACAGTTGCTTGGCTACCTCTCCTTGATTTTTTAAGGACCATTCGGGTCTTCAAGCCTGTCTTAGCTTCTGGTTTCACGCTGGCTTAAGGCCTCGGGATTACTGAATCTTGTGCACCACTTATTGCTGGTCAATTCCCGTGATGTTCAGCTTGCCTTCCAACAGAAACATCGCAAGAACTTCCTCAAGCTCACTGACCTGATCCCCTTGTTCACGACAGTCAAATGGCATGGTAAATGTATGGTTTCTCATTTCTTATTTGCAATTATTATTTTTTTCTTTTTCATTTTTAATTTCATTTAGTATGATTATTTTTTGCTTGGAAATCGCTTGGAAAGATAAGAACGCGCGGTAGTCAAGTAAATTTGCAAGCCCTTTATTGAACTCATGGACAGAATCGTCTTCAAAGATTACATCAAATTTGAAATCTGGATTTTCAAAATCCGACAACAGACGACTCAGATGGAACGGACTCCTGACTCGGGTTTTCGGAGACTCGGGGTCCAAGAGCTACAGACTCAATAGAGTCTCTGACTCTAGGTTCTGACTCGGGAGGGGGTTTTTTAGCAGCGCGCTCCTCTTGACGTCCAATTGGTGAGAGGGCCTTCGTCGCTTGATCAGGTGCTTAGCAGGATCTGGTCCCTTGCATCATTTCACTGTGATAACTGCAATTTCGTTAAGGAGACTAGGTTGCATGAAGTCTTTCCACTTCGAGCTCGGTTGTTTACCGTATCTTCGGATTAAGTCATTCAAGTCTAGGATCACAGGTGTCATTCAGTTTCTTAGGAATAGCGAAAGGATCGTTCAATTCCTGGTCAGTAAATAATCAGCATTACCCCTTGATTGGTAAGGGATTAGTGCTAATGTTGACTCACTTCTTGGAATTGAACCATCGTCTACCAGGTCTTGGATGCGGTTCTTAAAGCGTCAGCACCTTGCAGTCTTCGTGCCCATTGACCTTGAAATGAATATTCCAGTATTCATTGGTTTCGATAGTTTCCTTGTAAAGCGGTAGGGTGGCCGGCCTTCGCTTCCGAAGGGCTTTGATGTAGTTGGCCTTGACAGCCTCTCGGAAAACCAAAAGATTGGCATCCCGAGATCAGTATATGTGTTGCTTGACCGAGTATGCCAATTTCTCATATCTGCCCCACACAGTAAAAAGGACTTCGTGGGGTGATGTCTTGCCATTTCATGGACTTTGCAGCTTGGCTAGTGCTTCTGTCTACTTTTGAGAATCCCGAGTCTTCCTCTTCAGTTGACCCATTTGAATCAAATCTTCTACCTTCGTAGCATGGCACATGAGCCCGATTCTGAATGTTGTAGGTACCGAGGGTTTTTGTAGTTGTGTGGTAGACTGGTTTAGGTCTTTATTATACATGTCCAAACTGTTCTTGCTCAGAAGGCCGGTTAATCATTTGGCGCGAACCTTGGCCCTTTTTCTTGTAAGGAACGAGGGAAAGGGTCATTGTTTTTCTGTTTGGCGGTTTGTAGCTTTTTCCTCTCATTCTCGAGCTTTTCAGCTGCAAAAGCAAGTTTTGGAAGGGCAATGTCATCCAGTTCAGGGCCGGGGGTTTTGTTGGTTCAGTAGCAGGTTCCTGATGGAAGTAGTAGGTTCACTTCCCTCTAGCTGAAACCGCCATTTCATTGACCATTACCATTACCGGACGCAATTCAGCTATCAAGGCAATCCTTTGGGACCAAATGCCTCATTCAATTCTGGCCTTCCATTCTGACACTCTCATCTGCTGGCCTCGAGTTGTTCATGAGGTTTTTGGATGTCAGACAAGATGCCCATTGGTGTAGTTTGAGATTGATGAGGTCGGTGATAGCAACTGTAGGTGTGGCCTGGCACTGAATGGGTCAACTTGAACAGGGGGTACCTGTAGAGTGTAAGGGTAATCGTATTAGGGTATAGTGGGCGGTATCGTGTGTCAAGAGTAACTGATATGAGGTAGACCGACTCTTTGTCCAACTGTGCATGACTGACAAACAGAAGGAATATTTGTGTTCCTCTCCCTTTTTTTTTTTATTTAATGCTTATCGATATGTCGTAATGGCGCACAGACCAACACGTCATAATTTATTTTAATGACAAGACTCATACATTGGCGGTCATATAGTTCCTAAAGGATAAGTTCTATAGGCTATGACAACAAATAGAGAATCGGCTTCATTAAGGGACCCCTGACCTTGAGTATGGATAATACTAAACCACATGTGAAACAAGGAGTTTCGCGTGGGGTCCAACGGTACGCATACCATGTGCCAACCCCCAAAAGGATTAGGGAATTTGGTTTGTGGTAACAGGGAGATAGCTTTGGCGTGTCCATCGATGCATATCAAAGAGACCTGGCGACAGCCTAATTGCTATCTCAGACTCAGAAGTTTGAACAGAAGAGAAGAATTCATTTGAAAGTTCATTTGTTTAAAAATGGCAATGGAGAAAAAGATTTCATCGTGCAAATAGATCAAAGTTTTTTATATGTCTTAAATTTAAATTTTTCAATTAAGTCTCAAATTTCCTCATCAAAGTAATCCTTAAAGAAAGAAAGACTTTGATTCGTGCTAAGGCAACCCTGCAAAACAAAGCATTGTAAAATAAACCCTAAAGAAAGGGCGGGTTAGTTAACACAACAATCGAGTCCACTGTATCAAATGATTACATAATTTCTCCCGTGAAGTCGCCAAACTGTGAACCCCTGTCCCAATGTCATGGCATGTGATGCATATGATGATGAAGAAGAACATACACGTGAGTGTGTGAGTCGCCACCTTGTTAATTATTTAAAGTAAACTAGGAAAAAAACCCCCCTAAGTGACCTCCATTTTTAATTAACCTAGTTAACTAGGATTAATTACCCAATGAATTAAGGCACAATTGTAACGAACCCGAGATGGAATCCCGAGACATGTCATGACGATAACTAACCGATGAAGTGAATGCTTTTGCAAGGTAAATGATGGATAATGAAATGTTTGAGAGATTTTGACGTTGCACCCCGGGGTGAATCGAACGTTTCACCTACGTTACTCTCCGTTTGAATGAAGATCAAAGTCAAACGTAGTTCGATAGGCCTTCTTTGAAGGGCTTTGAAATGGGTATGGCTTTAGCAATGAGTGTGTACGCTTTGTGCATGAGTGTGTATGCGTGTGTGTGCATGAGTTGTGTGTATGCTTTTGTGACATGTTGTGTGTGTATGCTTTCGTGCTACGAGCTCGTTTTAGGCATTTTCACGCCAAGATTGATTGATTTTTAGGCAATGTTTGCAAAATATGTTGATTCTATAGAATGGACTTTAGCCAAATGATTTAGAAATTTAGCAATTGTTGCCTAAAAATGTGCGATTTAGGCGATTGTCGCCAAAATGGTTGATTTTAAAGGCCTTTGGCCAAAATGTGTTGTTTTAGGAGCAATTAGTTTGCCAAAAAATGTGCGATTTAGGCGATTGTCGCCAAAAAAGGTTGATTTTAAAGGGCCTTTGTGCCACAAAAGGTGTTGTTTTAGGCAATTAGCTCTTGCCAAATGTGCCATATTAGGCGTTTAAGTGCCTACGATATCAATTGAATTTCGGCGAGCGCGTTGGCTTAAATCACAAAATTTAATTGTCGAAACGTATTGATTAAGGCTTGTTAGCAAAACAGGATTATTGGATTAAGTTGGACTTAAGCCCGAGATTCTTGATTTCGACAAAAGGTCAATTTTGAGAACACGATTATTAATTAACTAGGCTCTTTTAGCAATATGTGGGAATTTAAAGCTGTTAATACCGCCATAGACGACGATATTGATTAACCGGTCTGTCCGCATATTAAGCCTTAATCAAATTAATTAAAGGCAGGTTTATTTACCAAAAATAATGACGTGGAGATGGCATTTAATGCAAGTTGTAGAATTATTTGGAAGAGTAGAAGAGAAAATATTGCATTTGAAGTGCTGAAAATTAACATAGGCAGAGTTTGTTTACATAAGCCTGATTTTCAATCGCACGACCCGTCTCTTCAACTCCGAGTAACGGGCTCCTCGCTTAGGAAAGTAGGTTGGAAGTTATTTTAATGTTTGTTTAAAATTTTATTTAGAATGTCCAAATATCACAAATAAAGAATGCAATAAAAATTAAAATTAAAATGCAAAAGCGGTAAAGAAAACGCAAGGAGCGTAGAGAGGGAGGAAGGATTCCGTTCGTCAAACACAGACAGGGGGTGCACAAAGATGGCACTGAAAAATGGCCTATTTATAGGCCATTTTCGGTCGCCGCTGGGCGGCAAGAGGTACCGCAGGGGGCTGGGCGGAAGTCATGCCTAGCCCCGGCTGTCGTGGGCGCTGAGCGGCAGGCCCCGCCCAAGCTTGGCGGGGGGTGCCGCTGGTGAGCTCGCGGCCAGCTGTCCGCCTCCAGTCGGTGGCGCGGCAGGAGCCCCGCCTGGTCCTGGGCCGGGCAGGTGTCGCCCAAGCCCTCGGAGCGGCAGGTGCCGCCCAGCTGGGCGTGGGTGGGGGCCAGGCCCCGCCTGCGCGGGGCGACAGGCCCCGCGCAGGCCGCTGTGGGTGGCACGGCCTCGCCGGCTGCGGCGACAGGCCCTCGCCGCGGCTCGGCTGGGCGGAGCCCCGCCCGGCCTGCCGCGCGGCAGGCCCGCCCGCGCGCGCGGCGCCCCCGCGGGCAGCTGGCGGCAGGCCTCGCCGGCGTGGGCGGCGGCTGCCCAGGAAAGTGGCGGCGGCAGGTGCACCCAGGCTGGCGGCTGCTGCCGGCGTGGCCGGCGACCGGTCTCCGGGGCCGGTGTGGACACCCCGCGCCTGCGCTCCGGGGGGCGTTTTTGGAGTTCCGGACCTCCGAAAAATTTGCGGACCTGTTCCGCGATCCTCGCGATATTCCGGAAGTTTTAAGTACCATATTGACATATTTTTCGGTGAACCTTCCGAAATAGCCCCGGTCCGGCCGACTGTTTGGCATCTGTCCGGGAAACAGGCTTCTGAGCTCAAAAATTTGGGTATTCCAGTACAACGGGTAGGGCCATCAAAAATCAAAGGGATTTGTGTGTAAAAAGTTCTAAATTGGTACCCTCAATTGTTAACAGGTCTAAACTTAATACAACAAGCAAATCTTTTCAAATGCAAATACTCCTCACACTTATATGTTTTAATCTGTTTTCTCTCACTCAAATCCACTTTACAATTCAAAATCCACTTACAATCTCATTCTACCCCAACCGGGTTTGGTTCAACTCGACTCAACTCGACTACTCAACTCTATGCTAAGACTCGACTCGGAGTAGGATGTCACAAGCCCGGTCCCTTCGGCACTTAGCATGCTTTAAGCCCGATCTGTTTGGCACATAAAGCCCGGTCCATCCGACAAAACCACAAAATCAATTTTCAAACCAAAGCTTGGTAGAAATTCGATGGTAAAACTTCGTGTGCCCTGATCCTCATACAAACGAGGTACGAATGCATACCTACATATTTCAGCCTAGGTAGTGGGCCCCAACCAAACTGACTGGTCGAAATTTAGGGGAATGTATAGCACGATCTAGAATCCTCGATAAACAAGGCTAGAGTCGAGCTCCCCTCCGAATTACACATTTTTCAATAATTTATGCTTTTAATGCTTTGTCTATATTGTCATGCATTGTTAGTATGACCATGCATCGATAAACTGACATCTATGCAAAACATTGATTTTTGATTTTTTAATTATGACCCAAACCGCTAATTCATTTGAAAGAAACCGAAAACCTAGTCCTCGAACCCAATGATTCGAGGCTAGTGCATTTCATCCTAAAAGGCAAACTGAAATTGGAGTCTATTCCCCCTTGTTGCTCTGCTTTGTATTCTCAATGATATTTGGTTTTTCCTTTTTTTTTAAAAAAAAAAAAAAAAAAAAAAAAAAAAAAAAAAAAAAAAAAACCAACCCTAACCAATGAAAGCTAGCGTATATATAATATATGTTACTATGGACAAAAACACATTATTGGCCATCTTTTGGCCATGCTTTGCAATCTAATTTATTAACAGTCTAGGTTAATTGGAAATCGTGAAAAAATAAAAATACAGTACCATACCGAATTATTATTTTAAGAATAGATTTTCCCATACATACACAACGACCATTAAATCATTGATTAGTGAATTTAATTAGAGAAAACCGGGGGTAGGGAAATATAATATCATAAATTTAATAGGAAATATAATAAGTATTTAATTATAATTACAATTCAATAGCGATTAGAAAGAAAATAAGTTACCTTGTAAAGGTAAATTTTTTTTTTAAAAAAAAAAAAAAAAAAAAAAAAAAAAAAAAAACCAACCTTAACAATAGTAGCGTATATTTAGTAATATATGTACATGGACAAATAACACTTATTATTGGCCATCTTTGGCCATGCTTGCATATCTAATTTATAAATGTCTAGGTTAATGGAAATCGTGAAAAATAAAAATACATTACTATTACATCATGATTATTATTTAAGAATTAGATTTTCCATACATACACAACGACATTAAATCATTGATAGTGAATTTAATTAGAGAAACGAATATAATATCATAAAATTTAATAGAAAATATAATAAGTATTAATATAATTACAATTCAATAGCGAATTTTAGAAAAGAAATTATAAGTACCTTGTAAAGGTAAATAAATTCAAACACACCAATATCTTAACTTTGATTGTCGCAAATCACAAGTTGTCCTTATTTAAGCAATTCGATTAAGAGATATTTCTTTAAGTGATTTGCGATTTGATCAAGAGAGCCATAAAATAAAAATCAAAGTGGTAGAACAAAATCATGATGGTAGAATGAAATCATGCTGATAATGTGTTATAATAGAAAAATAAAGAGAGAATAAAGAGGATAGGGAGAGAATATGAGAGTGTAATTCTTATTTACGAGAGTGCCACATACATATAGGTACATAATTGCAACTCTAATAGAGTTTTACACAAATTAGTAGAGTTCTCACTAATTAAGAATATAGACTTCTAGCTCATGTAGGACATCCACTAATTTCATAATATTACAGTGTTTTTAATATAGTTTTTATTACGATTTTTATGGTTTTTCATCATTTTACTTAAATTTTATGTAGATTTATTTATGTTTTTAACAAAGGTTCTTTAATCTTCACTGAGCTTGATTTGAAGGGTTTTTACAGATTTTTAGCAGGAAATTAGCCAATATTTACATTAAAGAAGGTTAGAGCTAGAAAATAGAAGAAAAAGATTAAAAATGGTTAAATCAACAAGGTATATGGCCTGGTCGTGTTACACAACACGGCCGTGTTCTCAAGAAAGCTGAATATTCAAGTGGATCAAAAATAATTGATTGGTCCGTGTGAAGAGCAAAGTCTGGATGTATCTTCTATGTGAAGTTGCATGGGAACAATAGAAGACCTGTCTTATTAAAGTTTCAACCATGTTTGGTCAAAAAAGACTTCTAATTAGGCGAAATTATCAGGTTAAATCAGTTTTTTATTCAAATCATATTTCTTTCTAAATAGGTCAACTAATTTTTCTATCCAGACTCGAAGACACACGACGAAGTCTCTATAAAGAGAGATCTCAACAAAATCTTTTTTCATCTTTTCATTTTTGGATCTTTTGTTCTACTCTCTATGTAGTTTTCTTTATTTTAAGACTTCAAGCATTCAAGTTGTATAAAGATTCAAGGAAGTCGTCCTCACTATTCGTTATTAGTTTTTATTTCTAAACTCATAATCTTGTTTTACTTTAATATTCATGTTGACTATGAAATTATTTATAAGTTTATTTGAGTTTAATTTAATGATTATATCGAACTAAATTCACATACTAGAGATTTGATGTTGCTTAATTTTGATTCCAATTTATAATATTATATTTGTTTTTCCTAGTTCATGGTATAATTTATCATTAAACTTAATACATATAGGTAGAGTTTCTCCTTAGATTAATTTTTTTCATTAAGCACTATCAGGAGAAGTCTTTTTTATAAGAAAAATGTAATAAATTACATCGGAATAACAACTTGATGTGAAAGCTATATAGTTTGACTCTTGGAGGTTTTGATAAATTAATGATCTTAAGTTATGAATTCATAAACAACCATAAAATTTAATGATTTCATTCATATTTGATTGCGCTATTAGAAGATAGGTAATTAGACTGAATCAAAAATAGTTAATAATACATCGGGAAAACTTGTTAGTGATTTTAGGGTTATTTCTCCTATTTTGAACAATTAAAATTGATTACCAACCTAATGGGACTTGAACAATTAAAATTGATTACCAACCTAATGGGATGAATTGGATAGAATTAATTGAAGTTAAAATCCCTAATAGCTTTTAATTTTTAATTTATTTTCATCAAATTGTCTTGTTTGATTTCTTTTTAATATTTTCTTTTATTTATATTCTTAGAATTATTTTCTTTATTGTCGTTTAAATAATAAAAGATTAATACAATTTTAATATTCGGTATATAATTTTCATGTGATAATTCTCTACTCGCTCTTTATTACTTGTTGCTATATCGTACAGTTGCAAATTTGTTTGTTATAAAACTCAAAATTCCAAAACCCGGGCTGTCTTAAAATGGTCTCACCAATACTAACAGTGGCGATAGCCGAGAGGGACTACTCAGGCGGTGGATAGGAGACATTGAGCTTTCGACGTCGATGTAGCCTACGGGATCCACCGCTAACAATCAATACTCAAACACCAACAATAATGATTCAGGTAGTGGCACCAGCAAGAGAATGAGATATAAATCGCATATCAATGGGGATAATATAGTGTTTTTTTTTTTTTACTTTTATAATGTTGAAAATGGAGTAAAATGGACTGAAAGATAGAATTATATAACAGGACAAACTATAAATATATTGTAATCCATTTTTAAAAAATATAAAAATAAACTAATAATTCATGGATCTAGAGGGATAAAATTATAATTGTCCCTTACTTTAATTATTTTACTTCATTTGGGCAGTGCGAAAATGTTCCATATGAGAATTAGATTTGACAATGCCACGTGTTAATTTGTAAACTGGTTCGTACGCGCACCCTTGGTTAGTGTAGAACTCCCCTTCATCCCATGGCTGCTTGTGCATTGTAGTTACGAAGTAAAGAAACAAGAAGAAAAGGCCATAGCTCTCTCTCTCTCTTCAAGCTGATTTCCCTTCCCAGTTTCAGTAGACATAGATCAGTCCTTATTTTTGCTCCAATTCATTTGATTTTCCAATCATCTCTCTCCACGCCACCCAATGCTCTGTTCAGTTCCCACCGGCGGCAAGTCCAGTTCAAACTGGCTGGACCGCCTCCGCTCCAACAAAGGATTTCCTGTCACCGAAAACCTCGACCTGGATCACTTCCTGACCAACCACCAGAATTCCTTGTCCGATTCTCCAGTTACCGACCTCTCCAATTCCGTAATAAATCCCCACTTCGAGTCGACTCAATCCGATAATAAACAACTCGCCGCTGATAGGAGCCAAGCCGCGGAGACTTCAAGCGAGAGTACAGATAGACAATGGTTCGGTGTAATGACCAATGTTCTCTGCGATCTTTTCAACATGGGAGACCCCAAGGAGAAAATTTCGAGATTTTCGAGGAAAAAGAGTACCAGGAAACAAACAAACCCTAAATTTTGCGACGTATCGGCGCCAACTACTGCTAATGCCATTGAATCTATAGGAAAAGAGGAATATGTCCAGGCCACAACGGCCTCGTTGCATTCTGATAATAATTCGAATGTTGGTATAAATGCGGATTGTGGAGATGACGATGTGGATGACGAGAAGGAGAAAGGCGGTGGAGGAGGTGGCGGAGCTAGTGATAGAGAGCTAAAAGGGTACTCGAGAAGTGAAGTGACTGTTATTGATACGAGCTTTGAAGTGTGGAAGTTTGATAAGTTAGTGTTTAGAAGGAAAAATATATGGAAAGTTCGGGACAAGAAAGGGAAGTCATGGACTTCTGGTAGCAAGAAGAGAAAGGGAAATCAATTGGAATCCGGAAATGGAAATGTGGTTTTGAAGAAGAAAGCTAAGATTTCCAACTTAGAGTTTGGCTCATCAAAGGACTCCAATGGAGAAGACTTTATGTTACCTTCTAATGATGTAAGTTTTTATGTCTGGATATCCATTTTTTTTTATTCGGGAGTTTGCTATTTTAGAGCAAGTTTTTATCAGCAACTTTTTATATGATTACTGCTACTTGTTTCACATAGAATATAGGTATTAGAAAGTAGCTTCTTGGTCTATGTAGGTATTTTGCGCTGCATTCTGTTTTTGGAGTATTTTCTGTGTTGTGAATGATATCATATCTTAGCATATTTGGTTTTCGGTATTGCATGTTTAAGATATGCTGATACTGTTGAATTTTAGCATTAGTAATTGATTGGATTTTTGGAATAGAAAATAACAACCAGACTATTTATATTTGGTTACATTATTGCAAAAGATAGTCAAATAACCTGTCCCCTCATGAAAGCTTGTGAATGCTGTAAGCATTAGCCTCCTCTTCTAGATTTAATGCTTGGCATTCTGAGATTGAATAGATGGATAGTACTAATTCAAAACTTAACAGCTTCTTCTTAATTGATTTCCTTGATGCTCCAGTTTGTGGAAACGAAGTTCTTCTCAGAGAGGGAAAAATGAATAATTTAGTTCTCTTGTAGCTGAAGTGGTTGATTGTTTTTAATATCAATGAATTAATCTCTTTGCAGCTGCATATGGCTTTTGAAATGCTGTTGGTAGTTTCTAACTGAATGAGATTTAAGTCTTTTTACCTTTGAGGAATAAAGTTTTTGATATATAATGGTCCCTTTCGCTTCCAACATGAGATAGAAATGTGCCCATATTCTACTTATCTTCTGTGGTGATGGTTTGTTAGGTGCCTCATTGAATATTAGATTTTGCGGCTGTTTAATGAATAAATTCACTAACTTCTATGCTTTAGAAATATGCATTCTATATTTCCAGAACCATTCTACTCTGTGGATGTCTGTGTTTCATTTGTTTTTTTCTTTCCTTTTTTCTTTTTTCTTTTTCCTTTCCTTTCACATGTGACTGCTCTTGGAAACTTCAAAGGTATAAATACTGTTATATTTAAAGGTTTTTTTCTTAGAGAAGTTTTTTGGGTTTACTTCATTTTTTTGCTGTCGATTGTTAGAAAATGATGAACAAATGTTACTGAAGATTGTGGCATTTTCTAATTAGATTTATTTACAAATTATAGAATGGGGACACATAACTTGTTTGTGATTGGGATGTCGTTACCTAGTAATGAATGTTAATTTATACGATTCTATTGATTATCATGATTGAGTTTATAATCTGCTTATTTGTCTATCTATGTCTGATTTTCAGCAACTACATACTAATGTCATATTTTTGCCTAATGCAGCAAGTATACAGTTGGATGATTCATTCATTGTGTTTTATTCCTTTTTTTTTTTTTTTTTTCATTTTACTTTTTCTAAAGAGAACCAGAGGGTTATAAGTTTTAATCTTCTCTACTGTTGAGTTTATTGCTTGTCAAGCAAATTAGAGTTGCAAGCAATAGATTTATAATTTTCATTCAACTATAACATTTACTGAACTTCCGCTTATTTACTAGGATAAATGTTTTGATATTACTATAGCACAGCCTTGTGCTGGTAGCAGTAGCTGATGAAATTTTAATTTTAGTTGCTTGACATTACCATGTCTATGCAATTGCTATGTGCATCAACTGGCCCAAAATTTTGTGACAATAAATGCCTATTGTAGAAGTAATCTGATCTGTTTTTAGGATTTGGTTTGTAAAAGGTGCATTCCAAATCTTTCCCTTTCATAAGAACCGCTAAGGAGCTACCTTACCCATTAATTTATATAAGCCATCTTTAGTTGACTTATTCTTGTAGACTGAAAGTGTGTGGCCTTTTATTTTTTGTTTTTCAAATCCATTTATTAAAACTTGTAAAGTATGCGAGTTTATGTAAGCAATGTTCCATTAATTTGTTTCTTTCCTTTTCATTCCATCCCTTTCTTTCTTTTCCATGTGATAGAAGTTCCTTTTCTTCGTTTTTTTTTTTTTATTTATTTAATTGTCTAATGTGATTTCTATTTGATTGTTAAGAAGCATCTCTATTTTACTTTTAACAGAAGTTTCTTTCAGGAACCACATTAATAAGGTTTTTGTTGCTGATAACATGAAAACTTATTTATTTCCAATTGGCTATGAACTAAATTTCAAGTTTTGCACAATCTTATCATGAATCAGAACACAGCAAAATTGATAAATGTGTGCCATTTTGCTTCTTTCATCCATGGTTTGCTCCAAGGTTGAAATTAAAAAAATGTTAGCCTGCAAATGATATTACTGGAAGGAGAGCAAAAAGGAAGCATCTAAATTTTTGTAAATTATAGTAACTAGCAATGTGCTGATGATTTTGTGTTTTTTTTTTGTACTGTATGCTCAAACAGAAACCGCAAGATGGGAGAAGAGAAGAAATTAGTAAAGAAACATCAGATGATTATTTCCAAGTTCCTAAAAAAAGGTTAGTACAGCTGCAAGCAATTAATGTTGCCTTCTGTATAATTTATTCATTATTCCTTGCTGCTCGAATTTGCATTGGAGATGCTTTTTGCTGTTATTGACTGCAATGCATAATTCATTTTCCAGATCACCGAGGAAAACAAAAAAGATTGGCTCATCTGTTATTCTTGTAAAAGCTATACCGACAAGCAAGAAATACGGGAAGAATCTTCCCAAGGATCATCTCAAGGACACTCAAAGGCAGTGCAAGGCTTGATAGATCATTTGTCCTAGATTTCTATATTGAAGTCATACTTTAATCTACCATTATTGCGGAGCCAAAATCTGATTATTTTATTGTTTTTCATGAATTTCAATGGTTTCATTGCTGTTTTAATGAATTTTTTTTATAATGATAACAAATATTCAATTAACTATTTTTATTTCAATAGGGAGTAGTTAACTGCAATGTAGAATACTTAAATACACTATTATAAAGAAATTGGGAACCAATTGTGTTTGGGTTTTTCAATATTCTTTGTACTGTATAAGTTAGCTTTGTATAAGTTAGCTTTAAATAATAGTTCACAGAACTAGATAATCTCCATTCTAATGGGATTTGGAATTTAAACTAAATAGAATCCAATCCCGAAGTACATAGGAAAGATAACTACAAGTAATACAAAGAACTCATATCTGTTACGTATCCTTATCATCCCCCCCCCCCCCCCAATCCAATCCCGAAGTACATGGGAAAGATAACTACAAGCAATGCAAAGAACTCATATCTATTACGTATCCTCATCATCCCCCTGCAAACTAATGGGAGGAGCAACCATTAGTTTGTTCTTCATGTGAAAAAATCGTTGCTTTGATAACGGTTTGGAAAAACATCGGCAAGCTGATCAACCGTAGGAATATAAAATACGAGGAGATGTTTTTGTCGTACTTGATCATGAACAAAGTGAAAGTCCAGCTCCAGATGCTTTGATCGTGAGTGGAAAATAGGATTGGCAGCTAAATACGAAGCTGCAACGTCGTCACACCAAACTTTGGGAACTGATGACAATGGTTGATGAAGTTCACGAAGTAAGCATGTAATCCAATACACTTCAGAAGTCGTTGTAGCTATACTCCAAATCAGTACTTGACCGAGCAACAGTATTTTGTTTCTTCGAATACCAAGAAATTACTTAGAACCATGAAAAACAAAATAAGCCGAAGTACTTTTGCGATCCATTTTGTCACCACCCCAATCGACATCAGAATAAGCCACTATACTTTTGAGTTTGGATTGCGAAAAGACTAACCTATGATCAACAGTACCTTTGAGATAACAGAGGATTCGCTTCACTGCTTGTCAATGATTCACAGTTGGTGAATGCATGAATTGAGCCACCTTATTCACTGCTAGTGTAATGTCCGGTCTAGTAAGTGGCAAGTATTGTAAAGCACCTACTATTTGTCGAAACTGGGTCGGATTCTCGTAATGATTGGTGTCTTCTACCGTTAAAACAAGTGTGAGTGAAGACGGAGAAGACACAGGAGAGGCTTCATGCATATTAACCCGACGCAACAAATCTATTATATACTTTGACTGTGTTAGCTGAAGGCCATTTGCCAACCATGTAACCTCAATCCCTAGAAAATAAGATAGAGGTCTCAAATCTTTTCGGGCTACATGAGTTCCAAGTTGATTGATTACCAACCGAACAAGAGTCATTGAAGAACCTGTTAGCAAAAAATCATCAGCATACACAAGATAATAAGCAAGCTGACTTCCATTATGATAAACAAAGAGTGAACTATCAACTTTAGAATCTTTGAATCCAATCTTCTGGAATGTCTGAACCAAGCAGAAATACCACGCCCATGGCGCCTGACGTAAACCATACAATGATTTTTTTAGAAAACAGACATGATCAAATCGTGATGAATCTGAGAACCCCTGAGGTTGTTCCATATACATAGGCTCTTCTAATTTTCCATATAAGAAAGCATTTGAAACATCATGTTGCTGAATTAGCCAACCTGAATTGATAGCAATAGAAAGAACCAGTCGTATGGTTGTTGGTTTAACCACAGGACTAAAAGTATCAACAAAATCTACCTTAGGCCTTTGATGAAAGCCTTTCGCCACAGGCCAGGCCTTATATCAATCGATTGTGCCATCTGATTTGGTCTTAACACGATAGACCCATTTGCAACCGATAACATTTGAAGCCTGTGATAGTGGAACCAAATCCTAAGTTCCATTAGATAATAGAGCACCAATTTCTTCAGACATGGCTGTTCGCCAAACAGAATGCTTTGCTACCACTGTATAAGATGTTGGAACAATGGGTAAATTAGAGTAAGTGAGAAAATTCCTCGATTTTAGATTCCTTTTTTTGGATCTAGAGAGCATGGAATGTGTGTTGGAAGCCGTAGAAGATTGATTTATATGTAGGGGAGGCAAACACAAGAGTGGTGACGAAGAGTCTATTACCATTGTGACATTGTCCTAAGAGCGAGTTGGTGAGGATAGTGATTCTAGAGTTGGAACAGCAGATTCGGGGATATTTGTGGGCAATAGTGTTTCAGTTGCAGTAGGTGAATTTGGAGTAATAGGGTTACCTAGTGAGAAAATAGGAGGCAGAGGTGGGGACCCAAGAATAGAGGACTACCCATCATTGACTTTGAACGGGAAAACCTGTTCATCAAACAACACATGACATGAGTAGAAAATTTTGTTGCTAGAAAGAGACAAGCACTTATACCCTTTATGAAGAATACTGTATCCCAAGAATGCACACTTACTAGAACAAGGTTCAAGTCTATTCCTAGCATAGGAACGAAGCCAGGGATAGCAACAACAACCAAATATACGCAAGAAATTATATTCCAGGTTACGGTAAAAAATGATTTGATACAGAGACTTATTTTGTAACTTGGGAGTAGGCACCTGTTAATGTTATAAACTACTATGGCAAAAGCATGATCCCAATATTTTGGTGGAACAGAAGAATGAAATAAATAAGCACGACCTGTTTCAGTTATATGGCGGTGTTTCCATTCAACACATCTGTTTTGTTTGGGCGTGTGAGGACATGAGCTTCGTTGAATTATACCATTTTTAGCTAAGTAAGATTTTAAAGCTTGATATCCCCCCTCCCCCAGTCACTTTGAAATTGCTTAATAGGTTTATCAAAAAATTTTTCAACCATAGCCTGAAATGTAACAAAAGTACTAAAGACATCAGATTTATTGCGTAGAAAATAAATCCACATATATTTGGAAAAATGATCAAAGAAAATAATATAATATAAATAACCATCAACAGACGGGTTCAGGACCCCATAAATCCGAACAGATTAACTCTAAAGGTGCAGAAAGAGAAAAATTAGGCAATTTATGAGTTTTGGTCACACAACATGTTTCACACAAAGAAAACGAAGACTTGCATGTAGCAGACAAATTATTTAATGACAAGACTTTATTCACTGTTGGAAAAGAAGCGTGCCCTAATTTGGCATGCCAAGTTGATAGAGACACAAAATTGCAAGCTGGAGCAACTGAAGATGAGGCTAATTGATAGGGGCCATCTCTAGTGAGTCCCTTGTGAAGTATTTGCTTCATGCGAAGGTCCTTGATAACAAAATAGGTGGGAAAAAATTCAATAGAAACATCATTAGAGTTGGTGAATTGTAACACGGATAGCAAATTTGTATTCGACGAAGGGACATGCAGAATATTATTCAAGGAAAATTTACAAGAATCAACAGAGATAATATTTGTTCCAACATGAGTATTAGGAAGAGTTTTGCCATTTGTAAGAGTGACTTCGTTGGTGCTAGTGTACTCAGAATGGATTTCCAAGTTCTCCAATTCAAAAGTCAGATAATGAGTAGATCCACTATCCATAATCCATGGTTTGGAAGAGGTAGAAGGTGATGAGGAAAAATTGGCTGCAGGTTTGACATTATTATCATAAAGCTTAGGACTGTGACATTGTCGAGACGTATGAGCTTGACCACCACAGTTATAACAAGTGACAGAGAGAGGATCACTTCGATTCGAGGAACAGCGACCACAGCCAGAACTGGAAGAATAATTGCTATGGCCCCTGCCTCGTCCTCTTCGTCTGTTAACTCCTGAATAATTTTGCCGAGAGGAGTAATGGGCTACAGCAGGCGGCTGGACAACCTTAAACGAAGTTTTAAGCTGCAATTCCTCAAATAATAATAATCCAAACAGATCATCATAAGAAGTTGGAGCCAATTTCGCTTCAATATTGCGTGTAAAAGGCCTATAATCAGAACCAAGGCCACGCAAAATATGATCAACAAGATCATCTTTAGAAATTGGGGAACCGAGAGCAGCAAGCTGATCGTACAATCATTTAGCTCGGTCCATATAAGTTACAATGGAGTCATTATCTCGTGATAACGAGTGCAGAGAATTTTTTAGGGTTCTAATCTGTGTACACGACCCAGAAACATAAGTGGACTGTAGACGAGTCCAAGCAGAATGAGCTATTATAGCTCCAACAATTTGCGACAGAACGGATTCAGTCAAGGAGCTAAGAATCCATCCTAACACAATCTGATCTTTGACAAACCAATCATTGTAAGCAGGATTCGGAGCACCATTGAGTTTTGCAGGTGGAGCAGTATTGCTACCATCAACATGATGAAGCAAACGATGACCAACTAAAAGGGGAATAACTTGTGTTTTCCAAAGTAGATAGTTTGTAGAGGTGAGCTTGATTGTGATTTGATGATGGGCAGAGAGAGATGGAACAGGAACAGATGAGATATTAGCTAACTGAGAATCCATGGTAACATAAAAAGACAGACGAATAAAAGAAGTATTTTGTGGCGGAGGAAAAAAAAAAGGGTGTTTTAAAAATAGTTTGGCTCGATACCATAAAGAAACTGGGAACCAATTGTGTTTGGGTTTTTCAAGGTTAACATAAAAGACAGACGAATTAGATAAGTATTTTTGGCGGATGGATAAAAAAAGAGAGAGTGTTTTAAATAGTTTGTCTCGAGTGACATAAAAGAAAACAGGGATACCAATCTGCTTGTTTGGGTTTTTCAATATATATGGATTGCTATTTAGGTTAGCATTATTAAAATAAAGTTTTACGAACTAGATAACTCTATCTAATGCGGATTTGGAGAGTATTAAACTAAACAAATCCAATCGAAGTATATGGGAAGATAGACTACAAGCAATACAAAGAATCAATATCTGTTACTTATTCCTTATCATATTACACTCTTAGTAACTTCAACTTGAAAAATGGTAATTTTACACATTATTTCCTACTATATTGTCATGTTGTTTTTCACTTTTTGTTTCACTTATTCACATAGTTATTATATTATTTATCTTTCTAATGGGATTTGGAATTTAAACTAAACAAATCCAATCCCGAAGTATATGGGAAAGATAACTACAAGCAATACAAAGAACTCATATCTGTTACTTATCCTTATCATATTACACTCTTAGTTAAACTTCACTTGATAAATGGTAATTTTACACATTATTTCCTACTATATTTCATGTTGATTTTTCACTTTTTGTTTTCAATTTATTATATTATTATATTATTTATCTTTAATTCTCAATAAACATTGAACAAAAAGATCTACATTTGGTAACATTTATTTTTTTGTTGTATTTTAATAGTTTAGGTTGCACATATTTTGCTACTTTAACTATGAATAAAGGCTATTTGGTTTTTTTGATGTCTGAACTTGTTTAGCGGCCAACTTAATACCTAAATTTGTTTAAAATGATTAAAAAAATATCAGATTTGACTTTTTAGACCAATTTAGTTTCTAATTATAGATATTTATTAAAATTATAGTTGGAGTCAGGATGTATAACTAATTTAAAAATTAAAAATAGATATGGAATGGAGGAAGATAATACATGAAGTATATTATGTCCCTTTTTACCTCTGATGATTTTGAGTTTTATGTATTAATTTAAATATTTTAAAACAAACATTTATTACTAGATTATTACATATGAAATCCATGTAATTTTTATGTTGAACATATTAAAATTATACTACATGTTTGTAAATTTACTGTGTTAGAAGAAATGATACTTTATGAAATTTAAACTTCAATTTAGAAGAGTAGAAAAAGTTTTAGCTGGGTGTCCATTTTATATTGAATCAATTCATTAATTTGTAAACATCAAAATAAATTTAGGAGTTAAATTTATTTAAACTGTCAAATATAATACTTTTAATCATTTTAAATAAGTTTAGCGGCTAAATTGGCTTGAAAGGTCAAATTTAATCTTTTTGATTATGCTAAAAAAGTTCAGGAGTCATATCGGCTTTTATTTCTTTTATCTATGATATATTTATCCTTGAGATACAAAATAATGTTACATTTAATTATCAATTGAAAAGTTCACTGAAAAAAAATTATCAATTGAAAGACAAATTATATTGTGTGTATTCTTTTTTTTTTTTTTAAGAAAAAAATATATGGAAGAACATGGGAAAAACCAAAGGGAAAGGAAGAACTTCCTCCATTGGTACAGTTTATGAGTCGATAACCGTGGCCCACATGGCCATATAAGCTGTTCTATTACATTTGCGGTTGACAGGAAAAACACAGCAGTAAAACTTCCAAAGCAACGTCTTATATCCTCTGTAGTGAGTACTTTAGTTTTATTTTTCATTTTTTCCATATTAAAACAAAGAGGCAAGTAAGAAAGTGCTTTTTCACTGCGGTGACAACTATAATGTAAAGTTGGAGTCCTTTCGACTATAAAAATTTTCATTAATTTAGTGAGTTAAAAGATATTTTTATTAATTTAGTAAATTAAAGAGATCACTACTTCTATTGTCTAGTCCATCGTGTCATTTCAACCAATTGAAACTTTTAATAAAATAAAAAATAAAAAGTTAACTTAACCTATGCATATAAATATAAAAAAAAAAAAATTCAGTTCATTTTCATTTATTATTTAAAATTTTTATATGGTCATTAAGGAAACATTTATATTACTTAGTTAAAATAAAGTGTTATTTAATTCCATTAACTTATTTTTTTCTTACCTAATTACTTTAATTTAAATAATTTTTTAAAAACTTACAATTATCTATTAAAAATAATTTTAGACAAAGTAATTCTTAAAAATCAATAAATAGAAGTGAAGTATGTAGTTGGAAAAAGGACCATTGCCCTGTGGGCTGTGGCTGGCGTAGTACTGTATGTCGATTGTCTTTGTTATCTCGGCGAAAAACCGTTACCCCACTCGCTAGTTCGTGCGCCAAGTAAAACCTCATTCCATTCTATAGGCTGCTTTTCGACAAAAAATCTGCAATTTGCTGGATTGGACATCCTAATGCATTGTTTCTTCTATTCCTCCACTTCCTTTCTCTCGCATACCTCAACAAAACCTCAACTTTCTGTTACTTCACTTGCAACTATCGATGACCATCAACGCTCAGCTTTTGCTGGCTTGGCTAGAACTCCAAGATATAACCTCAGACCGTTCTTGACTCCAGTGGGTTTGCGTCTTACCGAACAAGTTCTGGTCCACTGCAGTTATCTCAACTCTCCTAATCTGCAATACGAAAGTAGTAAGTAAATTCACTTATGGAAATGAATTTTATGCTTGATTAACTTTAAATTCATTTACCCCAAATAACTTACACTCTCAGATGCAATTTCTCAAACACGTTCTGTGCATTCCATTTCTCAAAAATTTTCAGCAACATATTGCAGTTTATATATTGTTTCAGGGTTTCTATATTCATTCTTGAAGGAAATTGGATTAAACGATAAAGAAACTGAACTCCTCTTGCAGCAGAACCCATCTCTAACATTGACAACTTTTGAATCTATACGAGCCAGAGCTTTTCTTTTACAGTCTGTTGGAATTAACGGCACTGAACTGTATCGTTTGGTTATCAAATGCCCAAATGTATTAACAGCTGAAGAAATCCATCATTTCTTGCGCTTTGTACTTGATAGTTTGCAAGGGGAGATTGAGCCAGCGCAGCTCATACGCCTTTTCACGACTACTGATCCGAGATTTTTGGTGGGTTTTGATCAAAAGGTTAAGCTCTTAGTTAGTCATGGAGTTCCCCAAGAAAAGATTGTTCATGTTCTCAATAATGTTAATTTAACCAAGGCAATGTGCTTTAAGCCAATTGAAGAAATCGATAGAACCATTACTTTCTTGAGCCGCTTTGGTGGGATTGATATAATTGTTAGACGTCCAATGGTTCTTAATTTTGACTTGGACACGCAGCTGATTCCAAGAGTAGAGCTTCTCAAGGAGCTTAGTGGGGGAGATGAAGACGCCACAGGGACTGTGTTGCGTAAACTCCCTGCTATATTGAGTTACAGTGTGGAGCATACACGAGACCATGTTGAGTTGTTGAGGTCATTTGCTGGTCTAACTGATCCACAAATATTCAGGATTTTTCAAGTGTTTCCAAATGTGGTTAGCGCCAGTAAGGAAAGGAAGTTGTATCCTAGAATTGACTTTTTAAAGCAATGTGGATTGAATTCGGATGAGATATTCAAGTTCTTGACTAAAGCTCCATTGTTTCTCGGTCTTTCCTATGAAGATAACCTTATGCATAAACTTGTATTTTTGGTGAAAATTGGATTTGGGTATAAAACCAAAGAATTGATTGTCGCACTTGGAGCTGTAACAAGAACAAGCTGTGAGAATTTGCAGAAGGTGATTGGGCTATTCTTTAGCTACGGGCTTTCTTCTGCAGACATTTTGGCTATGAGCAAGAAGCACCCACAGATTCTGCAGTATAGTTATGGTTCTCTGCAGGAGAAGATGGAGTACTTGATTGAGGAAATGGATAGAGACGTTGGAGAGCTATTGGCTTTTCCTGCATTTCTTGGTTATAAGCTTGATGACAGGATTAAGCATAGATATGAAGTAAGAAAGAAAATTATAGGGAAAGGAATGTCTCTCAATAAGCTTTTGAGTGTGTCGGCTGATAGATTTTCAGCTGGGAGGAAGAAAAATCCTATTCTTGATTGATAAACTAAACAAATTGTAAAATTTAGATGAATTAGTTCAAGCGTTTAGTAACGGCTCTAAATTGTTCCATTTTACCGTTTAATGGATTGCTCGTCTCCCTTTTTAATCCTTGTCCATCTATGAGACATAGAAATTGTTGTTTTATCTGAGATCGAGAATAAACAGCCCGGTTTGGAACGTTGAAGAGTGAAATGACCGATCTTTGCTTATGAATAAGCTTTTTCTTCAATGTGAATCATGTGACTTTCTCCTTTTTCTAGGACTAATATAGCTTGAGAAGAAAGTGAGATTCAAATTAAACATAGACAAGAAAAGTTTGTACTTGTCTGAATAAACACACTATTCTAAATAACTGCTAAAAAATAGTTTTGAATTTCTAGTTTCGAACCCTAATGCGGGCTAAAAATTCATTGTCAACTTAAGAGCAATCCCAATTTTGTAACCCAAACACACAGAAGTCAACTGTCTTGCCAAAAAAATCGAAAAACAAAAACACCATGCAACAGAAATCAGTTAAAACTTGAGAAGACAGTGAAAGGGAACAAATCTAATTAGCTTTGCATATGTTTAACATGGAGATCAACATATCCCTCGTCCCTGTAAGTTGGGATAGCACAGTGCATCCACCAAAAAATTGATCACCCATACAAACAAGCTTAATGAGGAGTCATTAGTTTGTATTTGTTAACCTCAAATCCTATACAGTGCCTTTCTTGGCCTTATACACATCATTGCCATAAACACAGCATGTCTGATCTAATTTGCAAAATGATCTTCCTTTGCTAGGTCTGCCTATTCTGTCAAGGATGGCTCTCTAGCTGGTTCAACCACCAAAGTCTCCATTTTCTCAGCCCCACCCTCTCCTTTAGGTATGATGAGACCATATCCTCCAGCTTTTCTTTTATAAACAATATTTATCTCACCTGTAATCAAGCACACAACAATTCAACTCTGATATATAACAGAGTAGATCATTAGGTGCAAAAGAAATTTACAAGAGCTGCATAAATTCATACCAGTTTCTTCATTCCGGAAACCATAGAAATCGTGGTCAACATTTTCCAGCTGCTCAATCGCTTCAGATACAGTCAAAGGTGGCATGTCAAAGTATTTTGTGCGAACAACCTGACAATCAGTTCACATAGTGAGAGCCTATCGAGAAGAAGATAATAGACCCAACCACAACTACATAATACAAACATGTACACCATAAAAAGCATCGATTCATTGAACATTTCCACACTTCAATCATGAGCTTAAAACCATCTAATATACTCTCACCAAACACTTATAAGTTCATTTCATCCACATAAGAGTTTTAAATCTTTTTCCTATCACAAGGTAAAGAGTGAACACCAAATTGAGCATTTGAAAAGTCAAACGCATTTCGGTAGAACAATTTAACGTTGTAATAGTTTAGTGATACTTGGCCAAGAGAATAATAACACGATCAAGAATAACATACAAGCAAAAATGTTGAAGTATGTGCTCACACCCCCCCCCCCCCCCCCACACCCCCCCCCCCCCCCCTCTCCCTCTCTTTTCTCTTTCTCTCTTCTAGTAAAACTGTTTAGAACTTAAATTTGATAATAGGTACCCGAGAAGTTGATATGAGTATCAGGAAACCCACACCTCAAAAGCTAATTGTTGAGGTTAAAGAACCAGATTCCAAATAGACTTAACAACTTCTATATATACCTAGTCAAAGAAGGACTTCTTTTATCCCGCATCATATATCAAACAACAGCAGCCAAGCAGAAGCAAATAAAAGTGACAATGCATATGGCAAACACAACCAAACCACAATAATAATTTGAAAAAGCATGAATATTTAAGATACAACCTCATCAATGTATTCCACTTCCTCAGTTTGGGGCACTTCATCTGCATCATCCTTCACTACTACTTCCACTGGCTCCCTCACTTTCAATCTGTTGAACCCTTTCATGTGCCGACCATGGTCAGACTCCTTCTCCTTAATCTTTCTCAACTTTCTTTGTAAGATTGATGATGCTAAGTCAATACTTGCATATATTGTCTCGGCATCTTCCTCTGCTCGAATCACTCCATGTTTCTTAGTAAACAATGTCACCTAAAACAAAGACACTGCATCAACACAAAAATAATACAACGAAAGAAACCTTAAAGGGGCTTAAATTCCAATTGAACGCAAAATTACCTCACATCTTCTAATCCTTGGGCCTCTTCCCAATTCTCCACCTCTAACAGACAATCTAACATCAACTTCCCGAACAAGATGACTATGCTTTTGAACTGCCTTACCCACCTTATCTTCCACATGGTTTTTTACTGTATCAGTCAACTGTACCCAGACAATTTCAATTTCCCCTTCAGATTTCCAAAACATATTGAAAATTACAGCAAGGTAAGCAAAAAATTCAGAATCCTAACAGATCTCTCATCAATATCTAAGAAAATGCTTCTGATAAAAGGATAGGATAGGGAAAAAACCTCCAAGTTTTTGCCTTGAATTATCAATTTAACCGAGGAGAGTGGACCGTCCCATGACATCCGAACAGTTGGGCTCCTTCGTCCCCGTCTAACTTCAATACACTTGACATCGCTTAATGGGTTCAAGAAACTGGTTTTATGAGATGAAAAAGATGGGAACCGTAGATTTTTGGAGCTGAGGACATAGATTGATGAAGAAGAGGTAGTTGCTGCTGCCTTCGATGATAATGACACGGAAGGATGATGGAAGCTTGTTTGCAGAGACCCTAAAAGAGTCGCCATTTGAGAAGTCTATAGAGTTTTTACCGATTTTGATCGCAGATATCAGGAGGGCTTGGACAAAGATAAAATGAAAGAAAATGGGGGGTTTTGGAGAGGTTTTCTCTTGGAATAGTATAGAACAGATAAGGACACGTCAGGATATGGGTTTAATGAAGTTGGCCCACAGTATATTAAATCTTTGCCCCGATTCAAAAGTCTACATGTCTGGATAGAATTGGATAAATTTGAAAAGGGACCCGCACCTTTATTACTTACAAAAAAGAACAAACTAGAGCTAGATGTCACGGAGACAGGATTTAGCTATGTCTATCCGTGCTGCACTTAGTCACCCTTGAGTTCTTAGGATGTGCTAAGTAAGTCTTGAAGTGTGTTGGAGCGAAAATAGAAGCTAAGTATGAAAGAGAGCACAAGAGGACTTTGGAAGAGCTTGTTGTATTGCTTTTGAATCACTTTTTACATGATGATTACAAATGAGGGAGAAGTGGTATTTATAGGCATTTCCACCTCCTCAATGTGTGGCTACAATTTGCCTACAAAAATGTGTGGTGGAGATTACAAAGGAACATTCTAGATTGGTTGAGACATTTCAATTCTAGAGAAAAACATTCCCATCCAAAACATCTTTGTGTGTGAAATATCTAGAATTTCCTAGGCATTGCATGAGCTGACACCTTGGTTGGGCTTAAAGGCATCCCACCTATTGGTTTGAGGCATGTCCAATATCTTGGGATCAAATTCGTGCAGCTGCCGATTTGTAGCCTTTCTTATAACTTTTTCCCCCCGATGAGTTCCTGAAGGCCTTATCAGAAAATTCTTACAATTACAAGCCATGCAAGAGGCTGTGCTGCACCTTCCGCCTGCCCTGCTGCTGCAGGTGCGTAACTACCCTCCCCCACTCAATGCCTGTGAACGTCCCTTCGATCGACGTCCCAAGAGCCTTCGATGATTTCCCTTATCTTCTTTTCACCGCGGAACTCGCAAAAAGAAGGTAATGAGCGGGGTCACCCAATAAGCCATCGGACTCCGGCAGGATTCTCCCCTTATATTGGGGCCCCTCCACTTAACAAAGGGTAACTTGCGGTAAAGAGTCTTGACCCCACTTCCCCGAGCTGAACTCCGTTGAGTCAGTATGTTGTCCTCGAGCCTCTATCAGAGATATTCGGTAGAACTATCACCAGCTGTTGGAGCTCGCGCGACTTCACTCCTGCTTGGGTCCCATTGGCATGGTGAGAGTTTTAAAACACAATGCTTGACAATCGGAAAAGTACATACTATAATGGATCTTAGCTTCGGAGAGTCAGGTTCAACTAACATGGAAGACATTATGGATCTTTAGCTTCGGAGGCAGTTCAACTTGATAAGCAGCAAGCAGCTTTTCCCACTCGCTTGATGATGGGAAATGGTCCCTCATACTTCCTCACCAACCCTTTATGTACCTTTCGCAACGACTTGAATTGGTTAGGGAGGAGTTTGACCAGTACTTTGTCTCCTTCAGCAAACTCCTTTGATCGCCTCTTAGTGTCGGCCCATTTCTTCATTCATCGAGTAGCCTTATCGAGACAAGCACGAGTCTCATCAGCTTCTTCATGCCATTCCCTTGCAAACTTGTGGGCTGCAAGGTTCACCCCAACATAAGAAGCTGCAATGGCATTAGGAGTCATGGGCTGTTATCCCATAATGATTTCGAAGGGACTTTTGCTCGTAGATTCGCTTCGTTGGAGGTTATACGAGAATCAGACAATGTCGAGTAACTTGGCCCAATCTTGCTGATGAGCACTGATATAGTGTCGTAGATACAGCTCGAGCAATGCATTGATATGCTCAGTTTGCCTATCACTTTGGGGATGAAAGCTAGTTGAGAAGTTCAAGTCCGTCCCCATCAGCTTGAATAGCTCTTGCCAGAACTTGCCAGTAAAGCGAGGGTCTCGGTCATTCACAATATTCCGAGGAAGTCCCCATAACTTCACCACATTCTTGAAGAATAGACGGGCTGCTTCATCAACTTTACAATCTGTAGAGACTGAGATAAAGGTAGCATACTTACTAAATCTATCGACAATGACCATGATGCTACCATATCCTTCAGAATACTTACTAAATCTATCGACAATGACCATGATGCTACCATATCCTTCAGACTTTGGTAGTGCAACAATGAAGTCCATCGAGACACTTTCCCAAGGACGCTCCACAATGGGAAGAGGTTCAAGTAAACCCGTGAGAGGTTGTTGTTCGACCTTATCTTGTTGACAGATAAGGCAAGTCTTGACATACGTCTCAACGTCATCTTGCATTCTTAGCCAATAGTAGTGAGCTCTTACTAAGGCCATTGTATGAGTTGCACTAGGATGTCCAACCCATTTTGAATTGTGGGACTCCTTAAGGATTTCTTTTCAAAGGTTCCCCCATTTTGGCACGAAGCCTCAATTGCCATGAGTGTAAAGTACTCCATCTTGCTCCCAAAATCTTCATGTCTTACCCTCTTCTGCAAGTTTAACCAAGTTCTCGGCAAAAGTATCATGTTGCATACCTTCTCGGATGCGATCCAATAGGTTGCTTTGTGGGGCACTAGCACTAATGCTGGCTAGCTCCGCCTTGCGACTTAGTGCGTCGACTACAACGTTGGCCTTCCCTGGTTTATATTCAAGCTTGTAATCAAACTCTGCCAAGAAGTCTTGCCATCGAGCTTGCTTGGGACTCAACTTCTTTTGCGTTCGAAAGTAGCTCGTGCCCAAATCATCTGTATTAACTACAAACTTGCTACCAAGTAAGTAGTGGCGCCATGTTCGTAGGCAATAAACGATGGCTGTCATCTCCTTCTCTTGGACGGTATATCGACGTTCGGTATCATTCAGTTTTCGACTTTCATAAGCAATGGGATGGCCATCTTGCATCAGTACCCCTCCAATGGCAAAGTCTGACGCATCCATATGCACCTCAAAAGGCTTCGTATAGTCAGGAAGCACCATAACAGGCTCTTCGAACACCATTTGCTTTAGCTCTTTGAAGGCATCTTGGCATTACGAAGACCAATGCCATGAACAACTTTTCTTGAGCAAATTCGTTAAGGGTGCTGCAATGGCTGAATACCCCTTTATAAAGCAGCGATAATAGTTTACTAGGCCCAAGAAAGATCTTATCTCGGGGATGTTTGATGGAGGTTGTCACTCTTGAATGGCTTTGACTTTTGCTGGATCCATCATTAGCTTGCCTTCCTTGATCTTATGCCCAAGGAACTCCACTTCTTGTTGAGCAAAGCAACACTTTTCCACCTTTACATAAAGTTCATTTTCTCAGAGAACTTGGAAGACTTGCTTGAGATGCTGCACATGCTCTTTGAGAGAAGTGCTATACACTACAATGTCGTCCAAGTAAACCACCATGAATTTATTGAGGAAAGGGTGGAACAGCTTGTTCACGAGAGTGCAGAACGTGGCCGGGGCATTAGTCAGACCAAAAGGCATCACTAAAAACTCAAATGCACCATATCGAGTTACACAAGTCGTCTTCAGCTCATCTCCTGCCGCAACGAGCACTTGATAGTAACCTGACTGTAAGTCCAGCTTCGAAAACCATCATGCATTCCCCAATTGATCAAAGAGATCAGCTATCAAAGGTATTGGGTATTTATTCTTGATAGTGATCTTGTTCAAGGCCCGATAGTCTATGCACATTCGTAAAGAGCCATCCTTCTTCTTTTGGAAGAGAACTGGTGTGCCATAAAGAGCCTTAGAGGGTTGAATGTACTTCGAGTCAAGAAGATCCTGGAGTTGCTTCCTCAGTTCTTCCAACTCTGGAGGAGACATCCGATAAAGAGACATGGCTGGTGGCTTAGCACCAAGCTCAAGCTCAATTTGATGATCAACCTACCTTCTAGGAGGAAGCTTTCTTCGCAACTATGGAGGCATGACATCCCTATACTCATCCAACACAGCTTGGACACATTCGGGCAAGGGCTTCTTAAGACTCGTCACCTCCTCGCCCTCATTTAGTTCCCTAATGGTTGCTATATAACTTTCAGCCGATTTGAAGCCCTTCTTGAATTGCATAGCAGAGATCATTGATGTTGATTTCTCTATGCTCTTCAATGGGATCGTGCAAGGCTTACTTCCTTTAAGTAGTTTCTCTATGCTCTTCAATGGGATCGTGCAAGGCTTACTTCCTTTAAGTAGTAATAAGGAACTTGAGGTAGGGAAGAGGAGTGTGTTTACCTGGCGGAAGAATGCTAAGCCCAATACTACTTTGAAATCGTCCATGGGCACAATGGTGAAGTCTAGCTTACCACACCATGAGTCAATTTGCACAAGCACAGCCTATGCCACGCCCGCAATTGGTTTTGCTGGTGAGTTTGCTGACTTGATAGTACCTCCACCTCCGATGATATCAAGGCCCAATCATTTGGCTTCCTCGACATCCATAAAGTTATATATAGCCCCCGTGTCCAGGATAGCGCTAGCCGGTTTGCCGTTGATGGCTACATCCGCATATAATAGTCCCTTCTCCTTCTTGGATGTGCTAGGAGGAAGGGTCTTGGGCATGGAGCTCAAATGTTGTAGGGAACCCATAGTGGCTTGGGATTCCCCCATCCCTTATTTCTCCTTGTTGAACTCGGCAACCATGGCATTCATTGCCTTCTTGTTGGGGCAGTCTCATACCCAATCTAGTCCATCGCAAATGAAGCAAGGTTTACGAGACTTGGATTCACTCTTCTTAAATTGCTCATCATATTTTCCATTGAAAGTCTTGGATGAACCACCCTCCTTGCGATTATGATCCTTCCTCTGACCTTGTTTCTCTCCCCCACTCTTGCCAGAGGTGAGCTTCTTGTTCTTGCCTTGGGTGGAGTAGTCGATTAGAGATTCGACCACGGCAATGGCATCATCAAGTGTTTGCACGCCACGCCCCTCTATCTCCACCTTCGCCCAATCTTTAGCCCATCCTTAAAGTGAAAGAGAGCAGTTAGATAAATCATAAATCTCCAACATGAGGGTAGTGAATTCCTTTGAATTCAATTGATTGTAATCGAGGAATCCTACACTTTGTTGAAGATGATGTAGTTTTCCCATTGCTTCGCTTTCGGCATTATGCGGTAACGAAGTGCTTTTCTGCTTTCACAATTCTGCCTTAAATTGATCCTACGTATGGATATTACATATGCCTTTCTCACACTCTGTGTGTTTCCTTCGCCACTAGAGTTGAGCAGCATCTCGCAGGAATGTAGGGGCATTGCCAATCTTGGCAGCATAATCCAATACCCCGGTGGCCACAAAGTATTGATCAAGACCAAAGAGAAAGTTCTCTACCATCGAAGCACTATGTGTACCATTATATATCGCAGGCTTGGGCACCTTCAGACCAGGTACCACAAGACCGGTGGTAGTACTAGTTGAGGCAGGACTACTCATACGATGGTGTATTTGACACTTAAAACGGACAACACTTACTTCCCTACGTAGAGCACTAACTTCAGATTTGGCAATTTCACTGTAACATCCCTTCCCGGTCCACCCGTTAACTCGAATGAACCGAGCCGAGACGCTACAATCTGGTTGACTCTATGTTCTGTCATGCTGATATCATAATGTATACTGATTATTATATCATGCTGATGCTGTTTTATATCATGCATGTACTTAATATTTACAAGACATTATACTAGTTTCCAAAATGAAATGGGCCCAACTGTGTGCCCTGTACATGCCATGATAAGGATAGACAGAATAACAATATCAAAATGAGTAGCTACCCTGAAGATTGGGTCTTCCAAAGATGAACTGCAGCAGTTATAAGATAACTCTCTACGGTCCAGTCCCAAAACCTACGAGTTAAATAAGTAACTCGCTGAGCAATAAAACTCAGTGGATATCTCAAACAAGTAAGCACATACATATGTAGAAATAAACATGTAAACACATATGGATAACTAAACATGTAAGCACACATATCATGATACTTTCATGATACTTTGATTTTCGTTCTTGCTGTTTATTATGTTGTATGACTTATGCAATGGTTAGTCCATATAACTATATGGCTCCATAAGGTTATAGTGAAACCCAAGTGATAAGAAGAACTGTATGAAACTGGATGAATATTGTATGACTGGGCTGTTATGGCCCATATATAATCGTATCCGCTTAACGGCGTGTAGCCGGAGTACCAAACTATATGGGGTGCAGATCTGCTATCCTATGTCGCGACATAGCCTTATCTACGTGGTTTCTACCTAACCTCAATGGAGCAAGCATATGGAGCATAATATCGGGTATGTCAATAAGTATAAAACAAAGCATATTAACGTCTTCATAACTTCAATAACAATATTGTTTACCTGGTTTCACATCATTTAGCATGCTTGCATGTTGTTTTGATAACATGTTCTCATGTTGTCCTTTTTTGTTTTTTAAAAATGATTAGTAGGCATACAAGTTGAGCAAAGGAATACAAATTGCATAGAAAATGAGGTCCAAAAAGAGCTCAAAACACAAGTCGCGAGCGCGCCATGAAAAGTCGCGAGCGCGAGTAAGCACACTCAAGAGATTCAGAGTGTTTACAGGCAAGATTCGCGAGCATGCCAATGAAATTCGGCGAGTGCGAGAAGCACAAAATGAAGAGTCAGCAGAGTTTACAGGCAACAATTCGCGAAGCGCGCCATGCAATGCGCGAGCGCGAGTCGTGTTTAAACCAGCCTGCGCAGTGTGTACTATTTTGGTCATATCTCTCAATTTATAACCTCCGATTTGGGTGATTCAAAAACCCATGGAAAGCTAAACACATAGAGGACAAATAATGCTTACTAGACCACTTACTAAATTCCAATTGTTAACTAGGGTCAAATCAAGGGGAAGTTAACTGGTTAAATTTTCCAAGCAAACCTGTTTTCAGTATAAACTCCAATATTTACTTTCACATTTATTCATTTCCATCCCATGCTTTCTCACCATTTCCAGTCCTCTTACTCAAACATTAAGCAACATATTTTCTCATTATCAACACACCAACACCAAGTTCTCATGCAACACACCACACAAGTTCTCATGCAAGAAAAGGGGTATTAAAAGAGATATCAAACCTTCACGTTAAAAGCTGGAAATCTTCTTCTTAGCTTCCTTTTTCTGCTACCTTTGAGCTTACTTCTCCTATACATAAGAATTCTTATGAATCATCTACAATATAACTAAATTGGAGGTTGAATAACATAGAACTTCAAGAAATTCTACTTACTTGGATAAAATAGAGGTTGACTTAATGCGTAATTACCATTAAAATGGATGGAGAAAGGAAGGGAAAGTAAGGTAAAGGAAGGAGATGAAGATAAGGATGAAGAAAGGAAAATGAAATGGTAATCACGGGTAGGCTCCAAAATATCAATGATTTTGGATGTAAAATTACCAAATGGTACCTCAATTGTCAAAAGGTTACAACTTAATACCCAAGCTTTATATTTTAGTGCAAATAAGTCCTAATCCTTATACTTTGATCTTTTTGTCTTATGCAAATAAATCCACTTCTTATCATTAGTATTATAACTCCCATCCTACCCACTTTGGACTCTAATGGCTCGAACCGGATTTCGGTTCAGCCCAACTCAACTCGACTCTATGTAACGACTCGATTCAGTAGGATGTCACATTCACGTACCTCAGTTACCTCGTTGGCAAGGGCTTTGAGCTCTTCCCGAAGGGTTCTGCCAAGCTCGGTAATCATGTCCTTAGCGGCCCTAATGATCTCTTCGTTCTCTTGAACAACATTGTCAAGTTGCTCGGAGAGTTCACTCACATAAGCCTCTTGAGTGGACAAGGATCGCTCAAGAGCACTAATTCTTCGCTCTATAGGGGTCGGTGGGAGACTCCCGTACTTTGGACTTCCCCCGCTTAGGCTGAATATGCGATGGCTCACTGCCTCGAGTGGATTCAGTAAGCTCAAGTTGTTGTTCCTCAACAACAACCACGTTAGCTTCCTCGTTCGCCATGAATCAAGACGAAAGGCTTAGTACCTAGGATGAAACCGTTGCTCTGATACCACCTGTCACGGAGATAGGATTTAGCTATGCCTATCCGTGCGGCACTTAGTCACCATTGAGTGTTTAGGATGTGCTAAGTAAGCCTTGAAGTGTGTTGGAGCGAGCGAAAATAGAAGCTAAGTATTGGAGAGAGCACAAGAGGACTTTGGAAGAGGCTTATTGTATTGGCTTTTTGAATACACTTTTACATGATGATTACAAATAGGGAGAGTGGTATTTATAGGCTTTGCCACCATCCTTCAAATGTGTGCTACAATTTGCCTTACAAAATGTGTGGTGGAGATTACAATGGGAACATTCTAGATTTGTTGAGACATTTCATCAAACATCTGTGTGCCTGAAATATTCTAGAATGTCCAAGCCGCCTACAAAAATGTGTGGTGGAGATTACAAGGGAACATTCTAGATTGGTTGAGACATTTCATCAAACATCTTGTGTGCTGAAATATTCTAGAATGTCCAAGCCATTTCATCAAACACCTTGTGGGCTTGAGGCTTCCACCTTTGGGCTTGAAGCTTCCCATCTCTTGGGTCATTGTGGCAGCCAATTTGTAGCCTTCTAAACTTTTCCCATGAATTCTGGAGGCTTCTAGAAATTTTCGCACATTAGTAAGCCATTTCAAAGGTTGTCTCGCAATTCTGCATGCCTGCTGTGCGGGGCGTAACATAGAGCTAGCTAGTAAGAAATGAAGTACTAATAGCACGTGAAATGCTAACGCGAATTGCTCTTATTTAATTATCACATTAAAAAATAGAAAGATTTTTTAAAAATTATTTTCCTATGCTAATGTTATTTGGTATGTCAAGTAGAGATGTCAAAAAAAAAATGGACATTATCCACTACACATTTCATTTCTAGAGGATCTCTTAAATAATGTGACATTTATTACTCTATAGTAATTTATTGCATAATGAATTAAGGTTCTGAAAAGGAAAGAAAAAAAAATGAAAGAGGATTCAAAACTAGTGTATTGGAGAGGGATTTTTAAAATTCAATATTTATAAATAGACATTTAGTCACATTATTATTCACACCTTCTATTCCATATGATACATTAGCCACAACTACATTAATATTGGAAATGCTCTAAGTGGACCACTCTTCTCCCTTCATTCATGCCCACATCAACAAGAGGTGGCAATCAGCACCAGCGGGTTTAATTCAGACTTGGATAATTTCAAAATATTGTCGTATTTAAGAGGTTAAAAATAATGGAAGAATACTCATTTTTCCTCTAGAATTTGTATATTGAATGATGTCCATAACTCATAAATTAGAAGTTCATAACTCTTTAATTTTTAGATAAAATACTAATTGGTTTTTTAAATTTTGGCCTAATTAACACTTGAGGACTTTAGTTTCCAAAAACCAACATTTAGGTCTCTAAATTTTAATTCCGCCAATAGATATGTCCTTTCGTCCAAAATCAATACTTTTTCCGTCAAATGGATGTCAAAGTACAAAAATGCTCTCACTTAAAAGTCATAAACCCAAAAAGATTAATTATTTATGATATTGCCTAATCAACCAATAACTCCAAAAACCACAATCAATTAGCGCGCAAGGAAAATAAAGATTGAGGCCGGAGCTGTGAAATTGTCTTTGAAACCAAAAAGGAGGCAAACAATCAATCATGGAAGTCCAAGGATCATCAAAACCAATGATAGCAATACAAGCAAAGATGGTGGAGGCAAAGGTCTCTATACCATATATAGACCAATGTGCTGACCTTTTGATTCCACTCAACAAGTGTCGCCAGGTTGAATTTTATCTCCCACAAAAATGTGAAAATGAATGCCACTCTTACGAGAAGTGTGGCTATAAGTTTGTGATGGAGAAAATACTTCAGATGCAAAAGATCCATGAAGAGGAGGCTAAGCTAAAACAAGTCCAAAAACAAATAAGCTCTATTCCTCTAATATCTAAAACTGCCAATGCTTAGGTACAAAAATTATCAAGTTTTATCTTTCCTTTATTTCTTGAAGAGTTTTTCTTTTCTTAGATTTTGGTCTTGTGGGTTGTTTGTTTTGTGGTTTTGTGCGATCTTGATAGTTGGTTCGGTTTTGATGTTATTGGATTTTAGGCAGTTGATTTAATTAAAGATTTGTTCTTTAATTATATTATTTCTGAATTTAAGGTCTTCTTCTGGTTTAGGGTTTGATTGATAATTTATTGTTCGGGGTTTTTTCATTTGTTTAACTAACTCAATTTCTTATGAATTGTCAATTTTTTATGGGATTCAAAATTGAATAACATTGAACATCATTCTTTATTCTCGTCACTTCAACAACATTTAAATATTATAGGGATCCAACGCAATTTTCTATTTCACATCTTAATTACAAACCTTGCCACTAAGTTGTACACAACAATTTATGGTTTTGATTGGAAAGATAAAGTTCATTCTATATTGCTGGATATATTGAATTATGAAGATAATGGTGACTTATTCTTTCTTTATGGAAGAAGATAAATTATAAAATATGTTTAACATTCAATTAATATTTATGTCTAACATTCAATTTATATTTATTTCAATAATAAATTTCATGTTGTATCATCATTTTTGAGGCTTTGTTGTTGTGCTGCAAGATTTCAATTAAGGTGATGTTTGGTTGGGGGTAAGTAGACTAGGAAGTGCAACTTTTCGGGAAGTGCATAAAGTGTTTGTGTTTAGTTTACATTATCAATTCTACTTCCTGGGAAGTAGATTATCCAACTTCCTTACACAAGAGAAGTAAGTTCCTTAGGTATAGGTAGGGAAGTTGCACTTCCCTAATTAAGTGCAATGAATTTACTAGGAATATAAATTTACTCAAATTTATATTATGGATATTATTAAAATTTATAGTTTAAGAACAATTCACTTCCTAGAAAGTTGATCTGCATACCAAACACATACAAATTATACTTTCTGGGAGATAATTTCCTTGAAAGTGTGCTTCCTGGGAAGTATATTTCTCGAAAAGTCAGTCATTTTGAATCAAACGAGACCTAATTTTTTATAAGATTTTAGTTAACTGACATGCTTTATATTTCTATACCTTAAATAATTAGCATGGTGAAAAATTGAGATATTACCCAGTTGAACCAGAGCATCTTTTGGATGTTTTATGTCTAGAGTTTCTATCACGTGTTCATATAGTGTTTGCGAAGATAAATTTTAAAAATTTTCAAGCTTTATGCAACTTTGTGCATGAGAGTTTATTATTTTATGCTTTTTAATTTTGTTTTAACAGTGCATGTGGAGGCAAAAATTCTAATCTTGGATCATAGTTCAACACATCCACCAACGAACTTTTTCTTTTCCAATTAAAATCACGTATTCTTGAATCCAACTTAGTGACTATATTGTGACGAACTTTGTAATTAAAATGTAGAAGAGAAATTGCATTGAAAACTGTAATGTAAGCGTTATTGAAATGAAAAGAATAGAGAATGTTCTTTTACTTCATACTAACAACACAAAAGTAAAATAGATTAATATTTCTATTAATTATAAAAAATACAAAATATATAATTTAGTCAATGTAGTCTTTCGCATCATCTTCAAAACATAACATCGATCTATGCAACTATGAAAATGGAGTACAAGCAACATTCTTTTTCAAAAATAATTACTTTACAACTCACACAAAGTGCTCATCATCCTCATGAAACATATTCTCAACACAGTATTCTCTTGAACAATTTAAAAGCTTGAGACTCTTAGTTCTTTATCAAGAACAAGATTATGTTTGTTGATTCTATCATGGATTATATTAGGCAGCTTGTGAATATAGGATAACGCAATCAAATATCTCTAACAGAAACATTACGATAAATTTAACATATATATACACACACACAAACCTAAAAGAAAATATAAAAATAAATTCAAGCAAAAGCTAGAAAAAAAATTTTAATATTTCTAAAAATTTTAGATCGAACTCTCTTTCCATTTGAGGATTTTGAATTGGACCTTCATAATCTATAAATTTTGCTCATTAACGTAAAATATACAACTTCTTCCGCACTCTTGATTATTTCATGTACCGCGAACTTTACAATATAAGAATGTATAAAGTATTATGCCTCTTGATTATTTCATGTACCGCGAGCATATATTTTTAGTATAACTCTTTCTCTAAGCTCATCAATGATTTTTGACTAATTATATGTGGTGGCATACTCTTATTTTCTTATATTTTTTGAATATCAATAACAATATTTCATGTATTATTTGAGATTAAGTTTTCCCCCTCCCTATGGGATATTTTATCTCTTAAACCACCTAATATCAATCAATAAATGAAATATTATTATTGATATTCAAAAAAATATAAGAAAATGATAGGGCAAAGATTCTTGAAAAGATTGGAAATTAAGGAGTTATACAAAAAGTATTTGCTTATAAAGAATCTTCTGAATATAAAGATGACGTAGAATATTTTATATATTCTCGTACTGTTAAGTTCGCGGTGCATATAATAAAGAAAACTATCGATGAAGATACTGTATGCTTTATGTACAAGGAGTATACAAAATATTTAAATTATCAAGGTCAAATTATGAATTCGCGAATAGAATAAGAGTTAGATTCAAAATTTTTAAAAATTTTAAGGTATTTTTTTGTCTAACTCCTACTCGAATTTGTTATTATATTATTATTTAGGTTTGTGTGTGTATATATATGCTGAATTTGTGGTAATATTTTTATTATGCGATATTTGATTGATTTATCTTATATTCATAAGAAGACCTAATATAATACATGATAGCGTCACCGGTCTTATTCTTGATAAAAAATCAAGAGTCGCAAGCTTTTAAATTGTCTAAGAGAGTGTCATGTTGATAATATGTTTTATGAGAGTGGCACTTTGTGTGAGTTGTCAAGCAATTATTTGAAAAGAAAAATATTGCTTATGCTCAATTTCCAGAGTTTCTTAGATCAATGTTATCTCTTGAAGATGACTAAATTGTATATTTTGTGTTTTTGATAATCAATGAAAATATTAGTCTAATTTATTTTTGTCTTCTTAATATGAAATTGAAGAACATTGAAGATTGTCATTTATTCTTATCACTTCAACAATGTTTACATATTACAAGGCTCTAGTGCCACTTTGTCTTCGACATCTTAATTACAAATCTTGTCACAACCTAATCACATAGTTAGATTCAACAATGTGTGGTTTTGATTGGAAAGAGAAAATTCCTTCCACGTTGCTTATATATTGAATTATGATGATAATGATAACTTATTTTTGCTTTATGAAAGAAGATAAATTATAAAATTTTCTTAATATTCAATTTATACTTATTTCAATAATAATTTTCATATTTTATCATCATTTTTGAGCTTTTATCGTTATGTTGCAAGATATTTAACTTGTATATGCTAAAGAAAAAGTAATTTTTTTATAGGATTTTAGTTAATCTAACATGCTTTATATTTCTATGCCTTATAAAATTTTGAGCATGGTGAAAAATTGAGATATTACCCAGTTGAATTAGAGCGTCTTTTGAATGCAATATATTCAGAGTTTCTATTATGGGTATTTGTGGAGGAAAATTTTAAAATTTTAAAGCTTTATGACACTTTGTGCATGAGATTTTTTTTATTATTTTATGCCATTTATTATTGTTTTGATGGTGCATTTGGAAGCAAGAGTTCTAAACTTGGATCATAGTTTAATACATCCACCAACGAACTTTCGCTTTTCCAATCAAAACCACGTATTCTTGAATTCAACTTAGTAGTTATATTATGATGAACTTTATAATTAAGATATCAAAGAGAAATTGCATTGAATACTGTAATGTAAAAGTTCTTAAAATAATAAAAATAGAGGATGTTCTTTAACTTCATATTAACAAGACAAAAATAAAATAGATTAATATTTCTATTGATTATAAAAAACACAAAATATACAATTTAGTCAATCCATTATCTTCAAAACATAATATCGATCTATGCAACTCTTAAATTGAGTATAAGCAATATTTTTCACTTTAAATAATTGCTTTACAACTCGTACAAAGTACACATCATCCTCATAAAATATATTCTCAACACGATATTTTCTTGGACAATTTAAAAGCTTGAGACTCTTAGGTTTTTTATCAAGAACAAGACTATGTTCCTTTATTCTACCATGGATTATATTAGGCCACTCATAAATATAAGATAATGCAATCAAATATCCTCTAACAGAAATATTAAGTAAATTTGACATACACACGCACACGCACACGTCCCTAAAAATAATATAAGAATAAATTCAAGTAGAAGTTAGATAAATAATATCTTAACATTTCTAAAAATTTTGGATCAAAGTCTCTTTCCATTTGAAGATTTTGAATTGGACCTTTATAGTCTATAAATTTTGTATACTCCTTGTACGTAAAACATACAACATCTTCGTTCATACTCTTTATTATTTCATGCACCATGAACTTAACAGTATGAGAATATATAAAGTATTATATCTCTTCTTTACATTTAGAAGATTCCTTATGAGCAAATACTTCCAGTATAATTCAATCTCCAAGCTCATCAATGATATTTGCTCTATATGTGGTGGACATATTATTTTCTTGTATTTTTTTGAGTATCAACAATATTATATCATATATTATTTGAGATTAGATTTTTTTTTCCTCTCTATGGGATATGTTATCCCTTACACTACATAATCTCAATCAATATACGAAATACTATTATTGATATTCAAAAAATGTGAGAAAATGATAGGGGAAAAAACCTTGATAAGCTTGGAATTAAGGAGTTATTCTCAAAGTATTTGCTCACAAAAAATCTTTTGAATACTTTACTAAATTGATGTTATCTTTTGAAAATGATGGGAGCGGGTATAAAGCGGAAACAACCCTTAACGAAACCATATGAGGCAAACTAAAAACATTATCGAACAAATCAATAAACTAAATACTTTACTAAATGATGTTATCTTTTGAAAATGATGGAGCGGGTATAAAGCGAAAACAACCCCTAACGAACCA